CGATAAGTTAATTGTATCTGTCGTCTGTCGCTGATGTCTCTCTCGCAAATTGCTCGCAAAATACAAACGTTAATTGAGAGAAATTGAGACTGCAATCGCGGATTGAGAGCACAGCCCAAGCCATAGGAAAAAGGCCGCTTATTGATATATCCGGAGTCCGGACAAAAACGAGTTGCAGTCGAACCAAACACCAAACATCAAATGGTTGGGGGCAGAGAAATCATCACATTTCTCTGGGAGTTCATTCAACCTCGCCCCAGTGAACTTAGCTGAGGTTATTTTTACTTCCAAGCAACATTGCCTCTCCTCTCGCTCTGCGCTCCCCCTTGCCCGATGGCTGTCTGCCTGCCTCATAGGCCAGGCCAACTGGTCGCAGTCGCAGTCGCAGCCAGCCGGAGCAACTGGTCTGGTCTGGCTTTGGACTCTCCCGGTCTTCAGTGTTCAGTGTTCAGTGTTCAGTTTTCAGTCTCTGGTTTCTGGTGGTAGAGCAGATTTATAGGGCCTGTTGCTGCTTGGTGGCGGTGGCGCTGGCGGCGGCGGCGGCGGCGGCCAATGTTTTGCTTGGCTGCTGTTTCTGGTTTGCTTCCTTATTGGGTGAAAATCGCGACAGCGCCATGTGGCACTCGCTTTTGATTACAAACAGATTGATTTGTCATCTGGCTTGGCTCTCCCACTCCCAACCAAATCAGTCCCTAAACTCCCTCGTACTCGCACTTGTAGTCGTACTCGTGCTCTTATGTGGGGTTGCTTTTCCGTAATACATTCAGAATGCGGCACCTTTGTTATGCATCCGAGATTTTGTGCATTGATCTAATGGCCATTGACTGGCGGGCACTGATAAATTATGAAATCAATATCAGAAACAGAAACAGAGCTGTTATAAGAGCGCGGACAAGGTTCATGCAGGCGAGATACGCACTTTGGGATACATTTGTATCTGAGGACGGCCGCTGCAAGTGGCAGCCGCGATAATTATAATCTGCCCGCCGCGACCGTTTGTCATATATGCAAATCGATGCTGAATTTCCACAGAAGGCGACGTTGTCGTCGTGGCTGGCCGGCGATTTCCATAGCCAAAGTTGGGACAGCGCCTCTGATTGATAGCAGAGAATCGGAGTTGTTGTATTTCTTGTTACCGGCTCTGTTTTCATAAATAATTTTGCGTAAGCTGCGCCAACACATGGTGAAAGATGCCAAGACCGCTTACGTGCCGGGCAGCACCAGAAGCAGCAGCAGCAGCAGCAGCAGCAGCTATAGATACATGAGGAGAATCTGCAAGATACGCGACGAGAGCGAGAACTGGAGACGTTTCTGATGCGCAAGCAGGCCAATGACCGTGTGACCGCACTATGTAATGATCAGAAATCAAATCCATATTCCGCATCCACATCCATATGCAGATTCTTATGCACTTTGATAAGTACTCGCCACTTTGGTATCATATTGGTGCCATTAACGGGTAATGCCCCTCGTAGCGGATGGCGGCACACTTACCTAATATCCTGGCCACCACTTTCATTGAGTTTCGGCAATTGCCGTTGGCTGAAAGACAGAAAGACCGAATGCGATTTGCATTCGTCGTCTACGTCAACGCCAGGGCGTCTGTTATGAACCAATCTAGCGACAGTTTACCATATTCAGTTCTCAGATAGAGATATTTAGCATATTCTCCAGTCATTACAAGCGAAATACGTGGACAGGCCGAACTGAGAACGTGGACTGGTGCTGGTGCTGGTGTTGCTACTGGAACGGGCACTGGGCCTGGGCCTGCCTCAGATGGCAATTCGGATGCTGCGGGTGTTTGGAAATCAAAGAAAAGTTCCATCACAGTCACGTTTATACGTATTTGATTAAATTCTTTGACCAAATCTGGAGTAAAAGTTCACGAAGTAATTTATACTGGTGCGCGAGGCGAGCACGTGGATCGCAACGTCTGTTGCGGGAACTGGGAAATGGCTCCCTGATTGTCATTGGCATTATATTCTAGAATGTTCTCGGGGAGTATTGACTGTTTACAAGTGGATGAAATTCAAAGGTATTTTATGCACAAAAAACAAAAATACAACAATTTTGAGATACATCACAGAACGTACAATATCTGACTAAAATGTACAAATGCTGCATACATATATTTTCCCCTGGACAGGATTAATACTACGGAACTACCAAAATTAAAAATATGGATTTATAAATTAAATAATAAATATGGGTTCATTGTAATTGGAATTGTATCATTGAATGGTACTGATATATTTATATTCATATACATATATATATATTTATACATTTTTTTTATCCTCATTCAATATACAAAGAAACGAAAAATGAAGAATAAACTTAAAATGTTTATCTGGACAAAATGAAATTAAAGTAATGAACATCAAGTAAGTATCTTACATTTCTCCCAGTTTTGTTGACACATCTCTAGATACATCTTTGCTTGCCAACATAAGTTGCAGTCCGCCAGGTCCACCTGAACTATGTGGGTCAACTGGATCGACGACTAACAGTTAACTCTGCCAACTTTGTCCCGCATGGAGCTAATTACAAGTGCCAAGCAGTCAGGAGTAGAGCAGCCAGTAAGGTGGATTGGGGGGCCAAGTGGCAGTGCAGCAGTCGCCACGAGCAAGTCCCAGCCCAATAGCACGACTGCCGAGACTGTCAACGCGAGGCAGGCAGGCAGCCATAACAACTACATCCACAACTCTAGGCACCAACAGTAACAAGTTTCTGGCATTGCACTTTATGAAAAACAAACAGAAAATTGGCAAGAAAAATTGCAGCATTGCATGGCCAAGTCCAAGAGCGACCAAAGTCAGCGGAAAATACTGTTAAATGTGCACAAAACCGAAGTACACAAGAAACAGGCAACCGTCGGAACATTGACCCAAATTTTTAAAAATTTTCCAAGACCGTTTCTTTTTTCTGTCTGTCTTTTTTTCGGAGGTTTGGGCCCTCGGCAAACATTGCATAAGCAGCAGCCGTCCAGGCTCCCCTCCTGGAAGAATTGAATTGATCGAATTACTAAGTAAAGGCGGGCGGTAGGGAAAGTGACTGATAGATGGAGGGGGGCAGACTCCCGACTCCCCGAACTGACAGTTGTGCCAACAAATGTTGGCTGTGGCACGTGGCCGGGACAAAAGGTGCAAAGCGGAAAGGAAAATGAAAACCCAAATGATGCATAACGAATTCGATAAAAAGCAAAAACTGTTTGAAAAGTGAAAATGCAAAGCGGAAGCGCCAAAATACCGCGCGGATGGCTTACATCCGGGGTACATCCCTGAAAGGTACCACTCTCTGGGGGACAGGGATCCCAATCCCACGCCAGGTAAGCCAAATAGATTAACGGAACTGCACTGCATATTGACTTACAGAAGGACTAGCATTTGGCTCCCCAAGAAAAAACAGCTGTTCAGCCAATCCTAAGAACCAGCAGGAATCTAGAAGGAATAGTTAGTGAGTCTTAATAGTCTCAGATCCCTCGGGTTCTAATAGAAGATCATTCTTTGGAGTGTCATCCCCCCTTCTGCTCACCAAAGGCCCGTGCCAAAGGCTGGTGCCGATAATCTTACAGGATCGAGTGGCCTCAAGGTGATCCCAGCAAAAGGGCAGACCCGTGCCAAAGGGTTGGCAGCGCAGCTCGTGCCTCCTTTCAATCGAATCATTTGTATTTGTGCCGGAAGTCCTTCTCTGAGTTTTTTACGTCGCTGTAATAAAACGAAAGGATTTATATTTCCTATTGTGCTGCAGATGACACATCTTGTAATCGGTCCGGTCCCGCCGTCTGTCGCCCTCAACAGCTGACTTGTCACACACGGGTCTCTGTCCCATGCCAATTTTAGGCTAAAAACTGGCAAATTCTGCCACATTTTCGAGAAGTTTTTTGTTGCCGATTATATCGTGTATTCTGGATGGGCTGGAACTGCCTCTGGTGTCACATTTCGCGGAAGCATCCGTCGCCGTTGCCGCCGCTTGCTGACTCATGCCGAGCGTTTATCCTTTTTATGAGTTGGCAGTTGCGAACGGCTTAAGCCGTTTGAGTTGGCCCGGGCTTAGGCTACCACAAATGTCACGTAAAGTGGGCAGTGACCGTCGCGCCGCCAGCTCAAAGACCATTAATTTGGGACTTATGCCACATAAGGATATTAGCATTTTGGCAAGGATTCACTTGGTTCTGTTTGAGCAGCGGCGACAGTATAAATCCGGGGCTAGCATGTCTATTTGCCTGGCTACTTGTTTGGCCCGAGCACAGAGCCCGAGCTAAACGAATTTGGCACAGTCACGGCCAGGAGAGGGACATCAATTATCGAAAACCCAAATGTGGGTGGAGCCTCCGGCTGCCTCTGCACCTCAGGATCGTAAGCCGGCAGGCGGGAGCACCAATAGGCGAGGAGGACTACCTGCCGAGGGTCACATATACTCATGCACAGGCGAAAGGTAGATGCAAACGCGAGAAGTAGGATCGCTGCACACACAGATGCAAAACGCCAAAAGGAAGATCGGAAAACACACGCACACACACATCGGCAAGAGAATAACGAGGGCACTCGATCGTGTCGCAGTTCGAGCGAACAGCTGTTTCTTGAATGAAATCCAAGTGGGTGCGAGCGTGTATGTGCTGTGTGTGTGAGCTGTGCTGCCTTCGTGCGAAGGTACGAAGAGCGATGCTACGCGGCTCTAGTGCTCCCTGTCTCCAGCTATCTCACCTGGCCACATGAATGAAAAAGACGAAATGCTCTCTGGCTGGCTCGCTCTCTCCGGCAAGCGATCTGCTAAGAGCACAAACTAAGAGCAACGCACCTGCCAGCTATCGCTCTCTTTTGCACTCGCTCTCCACTCTTGCCTGCCTCTGCTGCTGCTCGCTCTCTCCGTGCGCTGCTGCTGACGTCGTCGTCGTCGTCGTCGCCATCCGTCGAGCATTTAAGCTTACGGCTCGACGAAAATCAAATCAAAATATCGACAACGTTCGAGAGTGCAAGATCATTCAGCTCCGGCCACAAACAGCCGAAAAGTCCGCAGATTTTCCCGTATCGTTCAGTAAAAATAAAAGAATTCTTTTATCACAAATTGAAAAATTGTAAGATTTTTCGAACCAACTTTAAAAGTGAAACACGCGTCGCTTCGACCTTTTTGCCCGCAAAAGCAACCAAACAAACCATACAAAAAGGCAGTCAGCCGTTTATTAATAAACAATAAAGACAATCCAACAAAAGTATTTAATGGATTTTAAGTGTCAGTGACTCTTCCACACAAAAACTATAGACCAACAAAAAAAGAGCTAAAACACACACACGCGACGCTGTATAATCAGCCAAGAAACCCAGCGACAACTACAACAACAGCAGCCACTGCTGGTGATAATAAAAGAACTTACAACAACAGCGCAGTCAACGCCAGAGAACCAGTATAAAGTTCAATATAAATGGTATATATGGTATATAAGCAGACAGCATAAGGTTGATTTAAATTAAACAAAGGAGGAGCACAGGCAGAAGCAGCAGAGACCACAGACCAGCAGAAACAACAAGACTTCGGTTTGTCATTCAAGTATTTTTGGTACATACACGGCATACAAATGGCAGCCTACTTGGATCCCACTGGCCAGTACTGAGCGCAGAAGGAGGAACAACAGTCCACAGTCCAAAAGCCAAAACTTATCAAACAACTGCAAATCTGCAATCCTATATCAATCACCCTATATAAATTCCAAGATATAACCATGGCTGCCTATCTGGATCCCACTGGTCAATACTGAAGAGGAAGGAAGAAGAGCCCGATCAAAGAGCTATCAAAAGATAGAGCTACAAAAATATTATCTATCACATTATCTAAATCGTTATATCAATCTCAAAATGTCGCTCGCTTTGGACCCCACTGGCACCTACTAAGCCACAAGGTTTAAGAACCCAACCCTCTCTATCCAGCCAACAAATACCTGGCTAAAAAGTGAACACAGAAGACCGTTTCGGTGCGAAGAAAAGCTATAGAAAATCAGACAAAATGCTGGATCCCACAGGAACCTACCGTCGCCCACGCGACACAAAAGACACACGCCAGAAACGGCGTCAGGACTGCCTAGATCCCACCGGGCAGTACTGAGGATCAACATCCTAACATCAAATCCAACCACAACAACAACCCCATACCGCCTTTGCCTTATTCAAATATTCTGGGCATGATTGGGGGCGCGCGCTGGTTACGCGTGCGTGGCCGCGAGGAGACTTCCAGCTGTCGGCGCCGGAGAAAGTACGGCCTTCGCGGAAGGATGTCCGGATCCACAGAACTTTGAACTTTTGTATTTATGTAGTTTTTTTGTATAATTACCATAACTATTATATTAACTATTTATTATCATATTATTTAATATAAATATTGTTCATTGATGTTCACAACACCCACACACACACACAAACGGGGGAACCGTATATCCTACCATATCACCCATATATGTTATATATAGTATATATACGAATCGAACCTAAATATATATTCATCGGTTATACATGTATGTGTTGCTTCTAGATGGAAAAACTATGCAAAAAGTATTAAATTTAGTGTCATATTTGAAGAGCAAGTTTCATTTGTTTAAATTATATTATTATTTATTGCCAACAATATTTTTTGTTCATTTTTGCTACGTTTCTCATGCATTTTCTTGCTCAATTTTTGTTTTGAATATTTTGTACGTTACGTGTGAGAGTAAAGAAGAGGAGAGGAGAACAATATGAAGCACAAAATTTGTTTAGATCGTAAGAATATTAAGCTATTTATATATCTACACATTCAACAAGCATCCCAATACCCATCTCCCCATTCAGACACTCACAAACACCCATACAAATATAATATTAAAAGAAAATCATATTTAAAACTGAAAATTTCGAATGCATTTTTTATTGAAAGTCCATCCCAAGCCCATAGCTGCTGCAGGTCCAGGTACGCTCGGCTGCCAGAGGCGTACAAAATTGTCGCATTAAATTAAAAAAGTTTCCAGGCCCACACTCTGTCTCTCTTTAAAGGTCTAAACTGCTCTCTCTATCTCTATCTCTATCTCTAGCTCTGTTTCTGTCTCGCTCTGGGGGCGCTGCCTTGGACAAATTGCTGCCGGGGGGCGCATAAAATATGATTTTCCAAACGGCCAGCGCATATTTGATGAATCTGTGGACATTAATTAATGTCACTGGGCGGTCGCTGCCGGCCGGCCGGGCTGACTAAAATGATCAATAAAGATTGGGATTGGGTTTGGCAAAGCCACGAGACTGATGAGAGAATCATCTGCTAACTACGGAAAATGCAATATGCTATATGCAGTGCTAATGCGGAAGTAAAAGTTCAATGTTCGTTTGTGCTCCACAAGTGATTAGGTCAATAATAGCACAGCAACAACACCAGAAAACAAGAACAACAACTACTGAGAACTGCAATGGCATTCTGAGAGCGCACAGAACAGCTGAGAGCAAGGCAGACAGAGAGAGCAAAAGCTCCACTTCGCTCTCTGTGCAGCTCAGCAAGTTTTTCCAGCAGGAAGTACACTTAAACGCAATGCACACACACACACAAACAGAGGGAGAGAGGAAAACTGAAAGAGCGAGAGCCAGCCAGACGACACACGGATATGCGAGCAGCATGCGCTATTAATAGACAGACACACACATTAGCTTAGCTTTTCAGTATGAAGTTCAGGGAAATCCACTCACACTCGCACTCGCACACGGAGCCGCTCCGCTCGGCGGCTGTCAGCTGATCGCCAAGGTTGCTCTGCTCACGATGACGTCGCATCGCCTAACGGCAAGCTTTCCCAGGCAGCATTGAAAATGCAATTAAATGATCATCTCATTCGCCAGCGATCGCTTAAGATCGCTTACGATCGCTTGATTATCTCAGATCAGATAGATATTCGTAGATACATATGTATATTCCCAGGCCCACACGAGCGTTGACCCAGTTAACTTGTTGCTGGATATTCATTCATATTGCTTACAGCCAGAGACAGACAGACTCGAATCGGCGGAGGCTCACAAGCAACCAAAAAGCGATTCGGCATAACCGCAAGCAGAACTTTCTAAGTGAAAGTTGGCTTGGGAGGAAGCTACTAGAAAATACTGCCACAGCCTGGACTGCGTCTGACGATCTGTCTGTGATTGTGACTCCGACTTCGACTCCGACTCTGGATCTCAGTCAGCCAGAGGCGGGACGGGATGACAGAAGACTCGACTCCCTGATCGTTTCGTTCGTCCCACCAGCCACGACACGGCTCGGCACTGGCCCCACACACTCTCTCACGTTATAACTTGACCTACATTTCTTCAAGACAATACCAACGACAAAAAAGCAACAAAATACATACAAAACAATTTAATACTCACACACACATCCTAAGGCTGAGAAAAGAAAAAGCAAGAAATTTCCAACGGTACATGGGCTGGTGTGGTGTGTGCCTGGGACTGATTCAATGTTTATGAAGCGACAGGGCTTCACCACATTCACAGGCCTCTCTCTCCGAGTGGTTGTTGTGGGCTTTCAAAAAATTATTATCGTAAAATTGATTTCATTGAAGTTGTGTCGAGTCGATCGAGTCTTCGTCATCGGCCTGATCAGAGCTTTTGTAGCGATATACATAAATGTATATATTGTGTACATAAATACATACACATATGTACATATGCACATATGTGAGAGTATCTTCTTTTTGGTACACTTCGTTTATGTATTTTGATAATTAGGCGAAAGGTGAATAAACTCATTGGCCGCTGCTGCTGCCCGGGGTTTAATTTACACATTTTGTAAAAGAAATCGACTCAGCGGACTGGACTGCAGCCCGTGGCTGGATGATACCGTATGGGAAACTGCTAGAAGATCAACGACAAATAGAAAGCGACAACGAATACCAAATGTCTCTGGAGATCGTTCATACTTATATGTAATTCAAACTATAATGAAATTGATCTAGCCGATTACCAATCTTTTAAAGTCCTGGGCAGCATCAAATATAAAATAAAGCTCAAATTCCATTTTCCATAAAGTCTATCAAAGATAAGTCTTTCAAATTGAAATATGAGCTCGGAAAAATTGCAATACATTTTCTAAAGAATGTCATATTTGAAATGAATACATTTTTTCAAGGTCCTTGAAAGGATTTTTTATTGGCATATTTTACTACCGTTCTTAAAGGACTCTCCTCATCAGCGTTAAGGGCGAAAGTGTTCTTAAAGTATACACAAATCTGTTATAGAAATACTACTTACATATGTACTCACTACTACTGAGATATCTGATATAAGAGAGATTTGATCTAAGTCCCAGATCCCTTTTCAATTAATCTTAATAATTGCATTCTAGTAAAATCCATTACCGACCAGTAAAAGCTTCTCTTTTCCGCTGGTGGTTTTTCTTGGACAAACAACAAATTCAACAACAACAGTAACAACGGGTAAAACCGAAAGATAAACAACCAACGGCACTCTCACTGCTTTCGGGCAGCCCAAAGGTCAATGACATGTTCCAATTTTTCGGAAGATAGTCTCCTCAGCAGCATCTGGTGGATGGATCTTCCTCGCTTACCGCTTGATACCGCGTGGTGTTTTCAGAGTAAACATCCAGCAGCACCAATAAAGACGACAGCGACAGCAACAGCGATGGTGCCTCAAGAGCAATGGAACGGAGAGAAATAGAGGCGAAAACGAATTCAATTCACTTTCTATTCCAATGAAAAATCGCTCAAAGCTTTGGCGGCTCAAAGTCAACAACAGTAACAACGAAAGTGGTAGACCAACACACCAATACCAGCAGCCACTTTGCTCTTGGTCTTGGTTTTTGGTTGTGGCTTGGGCAGTCGTTCAATCCATTGATCTTCAACAGCGTCGTCGTCGCCGTAGTCTTCGTCGTCGTTGAAGTCGCGTTCAAGTGGGGTAAACAACGGAGCACGCCTCATTAATGGAGGCGGTGGGGACCAGCCCCAGCACTACCAGCAGTTCGTACAATTTGAAAGCGACTCCAAAACTAACGTTTCTTGTTGTGGTTGTTGTTTTTGTTATTGTTGTTGTTGTTGTTGTGTGGCTTTAACGGTTTCCGTTTTTTGTGTGTTGGTTGTTTGTAGAGGCAACATCCAATACACAGCGGCAGCTGCCGCCACATTTGCTGTTCATTTGAATATCTAGTGAAAATTTCACCCAGACAAGTGCCTTTTGTTATATATTCAGTTTCAGTTTCAGTTTTGGTTTCATCTCCCGGCCAGCAGTTGGTAGTTGGTACCCTGAAAAATATGAGAGTTTCTCCTAATTTGCAAATATTTTTGTCGTAGGTTGTTGTTTTTCTCAGTTTTTGGCAAAACCGTGAAAAAAAGAGAGAAGAAAAATAGTTGGCATATTTGGTTAGTTTGTTGTTGTCGCATAGTTTTCGAACGATTCACGTGCCAAATGTTACATTTCGGCTTAATTTTCGATTAGTCATTGATCGGTGGGCTTGATTCAGGCTCAACAGGGCGTATGCGCAATATGCGCGATAAATGGGTCGCCGCATAGATTGGCCATTAAGCGAGTGGCCGAAAGGGGGGTTTTTCCTTGTGGGCCTCTGGCTACGTTAAGCCTTTGAGACTTTGGCCAGCAGCCAAGTAAATGCAAGAACCCTACGGGCCAGGGACTTAATAGGCCAACAGGCCAAAAAATGCTCAAGAGGCACGTACATCGTCAGCGCCCGGCCTGATGACATAGCCCTAGCAATGGCGATGGCAGTGGAGTTGGATGGAAAAGCGCAAAATGAAAAGTGAAAAGTTTGCTTGCAATATGTGTGCGCAGGCAGCTCTCCACATTTATTGTCGACGCTGTTGACGTCTTGGATGTCTTGGACTTGGTTTTGCCAATTGCAAATTACGTGCCATAAAAGTAAACTAACTGACGTTGGTGTAGGCAAGCCCGACCCCCGTTCCAGTCTCGTCCCCTCTGTAATTCAGCCACTGTCCAAGCGAGTGGCCGAACACCCACTCACGCCCCAACCGCCAACGGAACGCTCCCCGGTGCCCGGGCCAGACTCGAGTGCAAACTCGCACTTTCACGTCTAATGCCAAAACACGTTGCAATTTTCATTGCTTGGCACTGACTTTAGGCTTGTTGGCCAAGTCCAAGTTAACCAAATTGCGCAGCCTGGCCGGGACAGCCAGCCGCA